TGTGGATTAACCAGCAGATTTGCCCCCGTGTGATAACGTCCTTAGAAGCCCCTCTCCCATGTTATATTCTTCAGTGGGCTGAAAAGAAGTGAACAAATACTTTAAATAAATAATACTACATTAGTTGCATCTACACTTAGGCAGACATGCAGTTTGGCGCCACTATAACTGCCATGGCGTAATGCTATGAAATTCTGGGATTTGTAGTTTTGTGAGATATTTAGCCTTCTCTGTCAGAGAGTTCTGGTGCCGCAACAAAGTACAATTCCAAGAATCGCATTGCATCGAGCCATAGCAGTTAAAGTGGTGTCAAACAGCATTAATTTTACAGTGTGGCAGCAGACCAAGATAGACAGAGGCAGAGATAGAGATTCCTTGTGCTCTCTCTACCCAACATGATGAGAAGCATATTGAACATCATGACTTGTATGGATTGCCAAAGAAGCACTGACAGATTCTTTCCGCATTTGGCCAGCTGGGAGATTCTGGGAACTGTAGCCAAAAAAAGTCTCTGGACTGGAGAGGTTAATTTAAAACAAATGTGATGTTCAGTGCTGCTTGATTCTTGGGTTTCTGGGAATACTTTGTTACATGTTAGCAAAAAGAATCTACAACCTCCCAGTTTCTAGGCCAATATTAAAAAAAATTAAAGCAAGTATACAAATATAAACAAAGTAAAATATAATCGTATAGAATCTGATACAAAGGGGATCTTATTAAACTCCAAAGATAGATCACACAGTTGTTTCCATGCCAATGCAATTATTCTGGCTACTCCAAACATATTGACTCCAATCAGATAGCAAAGTAAACCAGTCCGTCCCAAAGAGGCTTCCCTTTCAATCTAATGCTTGATTTAACAGCAAGATGTGCTTCTTCTGTAACATAAAATGGTGCATATTGAAAGCAGTGTGCTCTAACTGAACCCTGCTGTTCTTGTTCTTTGGTACCTTTAAATTGTTTCTGATTTATGGCAACCCTAAGGTGAAGGTGTCATGGGTTTTCCTGGAGAGATTTGTTCAGAGGAGGGTTGCCTTTGCCTCCCTCTGAAGCTGAGAGAGTGTGACTTTTTCAAGGTCACCTAATGGGTTTCATGGCCAAGCAGGGTTTTGAACCCTGGTCTTCAGAGTCACAGGCCAATACTCAACCACTGCAACACATTGGCTTTTAAAGAAGAGGCAGAGGAAACAGCTCCAGATGAGCCTTTGTCACAGCATCATTCACTAAATTTTACATGACTTCTTCCACTTATAATCCCCTCTTGATGTTCCACAGATTCTTCCAACATCATCATCATCATCATCATCATCATCATCATCACCATCTTCCTCACCATCATTTTATTCATTTATGTCTTGCTTTAAAAAAAAAATACTGGGCTTCAAGGCAGCTTGCAAAATATTAATACCAATACAGATTAAAACCATACAGAACTATGTATGGGGGGTTGTTTGTTTATTTCACATGAAATATTACAAATATAACAAGTAAAATATAGGTTAATAAAATAAACATAGTAAGAAAATGAACAAATTGAACTTTAAAAAGATGAAGATGGGTACTAATAGATAGGGCTGTAAAGGTGAAAACAACAACAGTGGACATTGCTGAGAATCAAGACCTTGTTGAAATCTCCTATAAAACACAGTTACAAAATGGACTGATGAAGTCATCACTTGGGAATTTTTATTAACATATTATAGAAATGAAATTAAACAATCTATAAGATTGAAACCAATTAAAATTTAATTGAAAAACAGAATCTAAAAATCAGCAGAACAGCACATCATTAAAAGCTTCTTGCAGGGATGGAGCCTCCTGCCCTAAGGAAGAAGTTCCAAAGCTTGGGAGCAGCCACCAAGAAGGCTCTTTCCCCTGTTCTTACCAAATGGGCCTATGAAAGTGATGAGATGGAGAGAAAGCCTTCTTCCAAAGACACTGACAGGAAAATCAAACAACAATCCATCAGTGATACCTTTATTGACCAACCAAAGTGCACAATATATTTGTTGCAAGCTTTTGAAGCTCCATGGGCTTCATCAGGCAAGATGTTACAAATCAAACAGGAAGGGGGAAAAAATGGAGATGTTAGTCAGATGCCTACATGTTGTTTCAGTCTTTAGTTAAGATGGTATATGGTGGGGAGGATATCTTTTGTAGAAAGGCTCCTCTTCATTCTAGCCCTGTGGCTATAGGGAGATTTTCAAAGTCCAGGAAATTTAAAATCCATTTGCATCTCAACAGGGAGCCCTCTTTTGCAATCCAATATGTCTCCATTCCAGTGAGGCCACAGGCCTCTTTGTGGCAGAGAACAATGGATTCCTCAAGAAGTCTCCATGTGTTTGCATCAGGAATATTTTTTGTAGATGTAGAGGCAAAACATGCAAATTTAGTCCAAATTTAAGAAGAAGAAATGTTTTACATTGGTTGAAGTTCCCAGTCAACAGGCTATTCTTCCTGGTTCCCCTGTTGCAGGAAAATCCCATTACCTTTAGGGTGCCCCAATCTACAGTGACCACAGACTTATCTACACACACCAAGACAACTTCAGGAGAACTGTCCACACAGTTCTCCCTTTCGAACACACTCTGGTCTGATAAATTGCAATATGTATGGACACATGATCATGGCCTCTCTGTTGTTGTTTTTCCTTTCCACCAACTCCCTGTGCATGTGAATCTATGTTTTTCTGAACTCCTCCCTGGCCTGAAATTGACATTGCTATGGGGTTCAGTCCAGACGCACACAGAAATATTTTAATTTTCTGCTCAAAACTGGGATAATCCCCTACTTCCCCCCCCCC